CTCCTCGTGCACGAGCAGCATTCATCAGTTTACGCAGCTCATTTACACACTTTCCCTGAAGATAGAAGAGTTTGTTGAATCTGATGTGACATGTTCGTACGAACCCTTTGTACGAACAAAAGTAAGAGAAATTTAGGATAAGAATACTAACATGTTCTTGCATGAGGCCCATTGAATAGTCTGGAGGTCATTTTTTTATTATTCAAAGAAGCAATTTCAATCAAAAACTTTATTTTTCAATAAAAAATATAAAAATTATTTTAACAAAAAACCCGTTTCAATCAAAAAAAAATCCTTAAGTTTTCTGCAAAACAAACTTTGTTTTTCCACATTAGAAATCTTTGGTTGAATCTCAGACTTTTGGTCGATGCTCTAAGTTTTTGGTTGAACTCAAAACAATTGTGAACTCAGAGAACATGAGCATCGGGGATAAAAACATGGAAAAGTATTTTTAAAAAGTCGTTTATTTCAAATAACCGTTTCTTTAAGAATCAGTCATTTATTCATTTTAAACTCAGAGGCACTGATGCAGCCGAGCTGATTCAACAGAAACAACAAAATGTCTGAAAATTGTTTTTAACAATAAAAAAGAACTAAAATAATGAAACCATTAAATAAATTAATGCAAACGTATCAAGAACTACTATTAATATGAAAACTTGCAAATTAATTTCTGTTACATGACCATGTTAACATGTGATAGATCTGCAGATGTCGCTGCACTCACCCTGGCGGAGGAAAAAGGAGTTCCCTCCAAACGCAGGATTTAATCAAGATTTTAACAGTTTAGTAACTTTGCATTGTGTTTCTGTTAATGACTGAAATATTAAAGTATCAATATTTTGACTTTATGATTGATTTAAAACTAATTTCTGGTATCGATATTTATTTATTTTATTATATTTTACCACTTTATCACTGGTTACTTAAGCAGCACAACTCTGACTATATTGTTTTTCTGGTCACTTTTATCATTGGATCTAACTGCACTACCCCAAATATATTGTCTGCTCCGAATACTGTACTGAATTCTGTATTTTATTATATTTCTCCTTTATTCTTTGTATTTTCTTCTTTTGTTATATTTGATACCTACTGCACCTTTACACCGAAGCAAATTCCTAGTCTGTGTATCCTGATTCTGATTCTGAAGTATCGATCATCAGTTCAGGTTGTCGTTTTTAATCCAAACAATAAAACTCCAGTTTGACCTGAAGTGGACGGGCTGATTTCTTCACTCCTGGTTGTATAAATAAAATAATTATAATTCCTTAAAGGAATGCATGTCACCCGCCCACCAGCATAAAGAATGCAGATGTGGTTCGACTGCAGAAACTGTCCAGAAAAATACAAATAAAACAGAAAAACTGAGTCAGCATTTTTACAAAAATATAAACATTTCTGTTTGTGTTTGTTTGCAGGAACACCCTGTGGAGCTAACTGTAATAAAATTATATATATTTTTCTGAAAGTAGCAGCAGTTTGAAGGTTTCAGTCTCAGATGCGATGCACTGAACTCACAGAAATATTAGCTCACTCGAGCGTCTCTGGTTGTTTTATTTTCACACTTTGATAAAATGAGCGTAAAGGAGCCGAGCAGCTTCTTCAGTTCCTGCATCAGTAACCGTCTGGCCTCTGGTCTCCTCTCAGACCGTCTGGTGTCTGACAGAGGTCAGAGTTCAGCTCTGAGCAGCTGCCTAGTCTTCAGGCGAAGGCTCCCTCTGTTTCCCGTGAGGCGCCGCTCGCCCGCCCCCTGCTGGCGAGGAGGCGGGTCGCGGGTCCTGATGGGACGCTGCGGGAAGGAGCTGGGAGACGACGAGGTCCACGCTCCGGACCAGAACCGAGTCCAGGATCCTCTGCTCCTCAGACGTGAACCTGCTCAGAACGTAGCGCTCCACCGAGGTTTCCCCCGACGGCCGTCCGATCCCGACCCGGAGCCGGAGCACGGCCTGCCGGAGAGAACGGTTGGTTTAATGAGTCCTAAATAATAAACTCAGTCAGAAGTTCAAATCAACCAGAGAGTTTCTTACATCAGTATGAAGACAGTCCACACACGAGCGCACTCCGTTATGACCTCTGAAATTAAACAAACATTATTTTCTTTATTTTGTGATTGATTTATTGTTTAATTCCTCAGAAAAACCCCACAAACGTCATAAATTTCCCTTAAAAGCATTAATTTTATTGTTTTAATTTGCAAATAAAGTACTACTTTAATGTTTTTGAACAATAATTTATATCTTAAACACCAAAAATTCTTCATCTGATGCAAAGTGGATCATTTTGGTCTAAATGACCAACTGATGTACGGAAGACCAAATCTGACATAAATAAAAATAAAAGCAGAAATATATAAATGGACCAATAAATAAATAAATAAATATATTTAAACTGCACAAATTAAATTAAAAAAGGAGAACTTTACTTCATGTTTTATAATTTAATTGACCTACATATTTATTTTTCCACCTTAGTTCCAATAAATTATGTATTTTAC